TTAAGGAGACAGTGATAGAGAGAGAGGGAGAGAATTTTAATATTTATTTTTTTAGTTTTCGGCAGACACAACATCTTTGTTTGTATGTGGTGCTGAGGATCGAACCCAGGCCGCACAAACGCCAGGCGAGCGCGCTACTGCTTGAGCCACATCCCCAGCCCAGCAGTGTACATTTTAAAACATAGTTTAAGTATTGTGTACAGAGATTTTTGTCTTATTTTTTCCACTGAAACTATTATGCAAGGATTATTTGTAAAAGAAAAAAAAATTTAAGATAATTTCAGTGATCACAAAAATAAAATATTCCATATCCAAACTATAAAATGCTGTGTATTAATTAAAAGAATAAAATAGTGTCAAAGATGACAGCTAATAATTATTAACTACTTTCTAGTAACTAGGAATATTTTTCCTTGCAAAAATATATTTATTTATTTTTTTAGTTTTTCGGTAGACACAACATCTTTGTCTGTATGTGGTGCTGAGGATTGAACCAGGGCTGCACGCATGCCAGGCGAGTGCACTACCGCTTGAGCCACATCCCCAGCCCCTGCAAAAATATATGTACATACATTTTTACACGAGTAGGAGTTTGACAGATGGAAAATGGAGGTCTCTGAAGGCAGAACATGAGTAGAAAAAAGCAGTTTAAAGTGGACATGTTGGTGCATGCTCATAATCCCAGTGACCCTGGAGGTTGAGGCAGGAGGATTGAAAGTTTGAATCCAGCCTCAGCAATTTAGGCCATAAATAATTTAGCGATATCCTGTCTCAAAATAAAAAGGGCTGAGGATGTGGACCAGTGCTAAGTTTAGCACTTGGGTTTCAATCCCTGGTATTAAAAAAAAAAAAAAAAAAAAAAAAAAAAACTCCAAACAACCCACCCCCACTTACCATTCTAGAATAGCACATGGAGTATTGCTGTTATAGCAGCATAACAAAATCCTCAAAATTTGAGTTAGACTGAAGGGTACAAAATATTAAATATCTAATACTTTGTTCCTGAATTTGATAATTCCTGGAAAGCTGATGGATGATTTTTGGGGAGATGAGATTGATGGGAACTGTGCTTTAGGAAAATGATTTGGTTGTGTTAAGTAAGATTAGAATGGAGATACAGACATAGGGTGCCCTAGAGTGTTTCATTAATCTGCGTGACAAGTGAGGAGGACTTTGTGCTGGGAGGTGCTGACAGAATGGACAACAGTGGCCCTATGTAATGGAGGAAGGAAATGCAAAAGAGAAGAAAGGTGGAAGGAGTAGGTAGGGGCACAGAAGGGTGGAGGTGGAATCTGTAGAGCTTGTGTGGTATCCTGGATCCAAAAGAATCTTTGGAATCAAATTTTGAGATTGTAGGATTTTGAATGTTGCTGATTAGAAATAATATTGACAGGCCGCTGTCACATTGGACGCTCAGATACAAGAACTAGACTAGAGGAAAAGAGATGAATTTCATTTCAGAAAAATTGAACACAGTTTCCAAATAGAAACACACGCCTGCACACACACAAACACACAGAAATTTATACATAGTTGGACACTTGAGTCACAGCCTTGTGGATATGGGGCAGGGGCAACTGGGAGATTTTTGAAAGGTTATCCTAGAGGAGGTAATAAAGGCCATGGAAATGAGGAGCCTGCAGGGATAGGAAGTGGCAAGATGAGGACAAGGGAAAAGTCTTGGGGATGGATAGCTTCATGTAAAAGGGCAGAAAGAAAACCACACTTAATTTTTTTTTTCCAGTGGATGTTTTTCTCTTTCTTTAATTTTTTTTTAGTTGTAGATGGACACAATATCTTTATTTATTTCTATGTGGTGCTGAGGATAGAACCCAGAATCTCACATGTGTGAGGCAAGTGCTCTACCACTGAGCCCCAGCTCCAGCCCCTCCAGTAGCTGTTTCTAATATTTGACCTTGTTTCTAGTTAGATTGTCCTTCACTCTCCCTAAAAATCCATTTTCACTTTTTTCTTTTTGCCTCTGGTTCTCTTGTGCCATTCAAGTCCTGCTCATTCTGAATCCTCTTTCCTCCATATGCTTTATTTACTGTCCATGTCCACATTAATGGTCTGATCTGAAGCTGGAGGTAGATTTAGTGGTTAAAACTCAGAAACTAGGGCTGGGGATGTGGCTCAAGCAGTAGCGCGCTCGCCTGGCATGCGGGCCGTCTGGGTTCGATCCTCAGCACCACATACAAACAAAGATGTTGTGTCCGCCGAAAACTAAAAAATAAACATTAAAAAAATTCTCTCTAAAAAAAAAAAAAAAAAAAAAAAAAAAAACTCAGAAACTAGACAGAGACCATACTTTTCACCTCATATTTGCTGTGACTTTGGCAAGTGGTTAAATCAGTGCCTTATTTTCATATTGGGAACAATAAGACCTCTCCAGCCTCCTTGGTTATTGGGAGGAATGCATACTTAGTCCTTGACATAGTGTCTAATTATTATTATTATTTTGTGCAGTACTAAGGATTGACACCAGTGCCTCAAAAAAACT